GTGTCAAATTAATTTTTTAATATTCTCCCTCCTCACGTTTTCTTCCTTGATCTACCGGTTTAGTATTGATAGGTGTTCTAAATCATAATTCAAACTTCGACATGGTTTGAAACCAGTCTCTATCCTTCATCCTGCCTATTGTCACTGTCATTCATCAACCAACGAAACGGATCATGGACGGATAGACGGATCTGCGAACGCAGGAAGTCGCAAAGAGATGTTCGGCCTCGACTCCAGGCGGGAAATCCTGTGCACCGTCGTTAAAGCCTATACCTCTATTTACGCGGTCGTATTTCTCTCAGACCTGACCATCATCGCGATCACCGCGAGTCGCGTGAGTAATGCCGCAGGATTGCCTCGCGAGCGATCCCTGTTAGCCTGTGTACCCACCGCCGTTCACTTTCGATCGCTCGTCAATCTGCCGACCTTCGACTCTCTCAACGACGTCGACGACGTCGACGACGTCCACGACGACGACGACAAAGACGCGGCCAGCTCGCGACAGCCACCGGGCAAACGAACACGCAGGCTAGTTAAAATTATGTAGCGGCCGGCGTGCTTGGCCGGTTTCCGCTCGGAACGCTCGCGTCCTCAGAGTTCCTCGAATAATCCTCGGGCGGATTATGCGCGCGGAATTAATCGACGTCGGGCCGCGCGATGTTCCGCTTTCGAGCCGATGAACCACGCGACTAACGGTCTCGTTCGGGCGGTACACACGCGCGACATCCTCTATTCCGTGGATGCAGCAGAGGATTGATCGAGGCACGATGACAGCGTCGCAGCAATTGACATCAATTGTCTACGCTCGCGGCTGCCGCGTACTCTTCCGCGAATTCCGCGCCGACCTGGCCTGTCAGCCGAGACCTCGCGGGGCTGGAAATTGCGAGAGCGAGATTTTTCCTCGGCTCGTTTCTGCCTATTTGGCAATTGGTCGGGGAGATTGAGTCGTTAGGGTTGACTGTCGGGTGGACTTCGGTTTCGAGGAATCGCCGTTCGTTTTCTTCTGGGTCATCCGATGGAACGTGACACGGGGATCGTTCGTTGCGTAACTCGTGGCTCAGAAGAATCCGTGGGACGAATGTTCGAAGTAGATTAAACAGATTGATGCAGATGTCATTATCGAAGTCGGCGTTTGTTCATGGAGTTGAATTTAGTTAGTCGTGAGCTAATTGATTTTATCACTCAGCTTTGGATACGAGTTATCGAAAGTTACCGTTAATCGTGTATTAATCTATTTGTTAATTGACAAGGTACAGATTGAGGAAGGTACAGTCTGTGATACTTTATCCCGAAGAAATTACAATAGGCTCGATTAGTGTTCTCTTTGGTATTCGATATTCTTATAATCGTTCTTCGTTAATGGCAACCTCTCAAAAAGTTAATTAATATTAATCCCAAATTTGGAAATTAATGTTCACAAAACAGAATCATCATCATTAATTATCCTTAATTCACGCCACAAATAAATTCTCCACCAATCTCGAAATAAATAGTACTAATTATTTGCCAAGTTTCTAAACAAAATGGCACCAACTTCATTTGGAAGAAGGAAGCATCGCTATATTATTTTATTAACTAATAAATAATGGACCATTTTGATGCATAAGAAATCATGTCAATTAACAACCTTTCGTGGTAGTGGTTACATAGATTTTTAAGTATATATGTGTTGGGATGAGTGGAACAAGTATGCATGGGATTCCAATATGTAATGAATTCAGGTTATTATGATAAATGAGTATGCGTGTAATGATTAAAGCGTGTGTGAATTGTGTATGTGAATGTAATGTATGAAGAAGAAAGAAAAAAGATGAGTGATTTCGGATATGTTAGTTGCAATTAAGTTATAATATTGAGAAGTCCTGCGATAGAGTAATTGTGAGAAATTAATTATACTTAAAAGTTATATTTGTGTCTTATAATCTTTCTAATTAAATGAAGAATTGTTCTTGCTGTTATTAAATTACATCCATCACTAACACCTTTCACATCGGCAAATTTATTCTGCACTGAGAAACGAAGAAAAAGAGAAATTGTCAGCCTGTATCTCAAAAATCCATCACACCTCGTTCCTTAATTCAATAAAATGTCAGAACAGCCGCCCAAAAATAGGCAAGATTAGGGTGAATCGATCGGATCCACCGAACCGAAGGAATGTCTCGATCGAGCGACGCCTGGGCGTCCCGACGCTCAAGCAGCTGCCATCTTTCGATCCGTCGTGGCCAAATAGTTGGCTTGCCGTGTCGCGTGCGCGGTCGTATCGATGCAGTTCGGCTTGGTGGAAAAAATTCGAGCAGAATGCCATGACCCAGCGTGGCATTTGCATCCGTAGGATCTAATGAATAGCGAGCATTACGTCCTATTTGGTCTCATTGCGACCGGCCGTGACGATGCCAGTGCGCATAGCATAGCTCTCGCGCTATTTGCAGTCTGCTCTGCTTGGTGGGGGGCACAATGGACGCCGACGCCTGGCGTCGGTATGTGCTCAATGGAGGCTACCCCTCTTCTAAGCACGTCGTACGATTTACCTACTAAACGTCAACCGAGACGACGACGCGTTCGCTCGACGGATTCGCCAAGTGACTGGCAGACGGACTGGATAGAGAGGGTGGGAAGGGGTGAGTCGGAGGGTGGTAAAATCCCTGGAATTGTCCGCGCCGTTGCTGCCGGATGTCGAAGCGTTTCGTCCACGGGCATTTCGTTGCTCGCGGTCCTCTTGGGCCTATGATATTTTGCCGAATCCTCGGCGGGGACGTCGATGCGGTTGTACGAGGGTCTTGCGATGGTTGGAAATGTCGATCGGTGATGAAATGTCTGATGATAGGATGATGGAGAGCGACGAGTCGAGTAGAATGATCGGGAGTTGATTAATTTTGTTAGTTCGCGTTGCCGCATTGAATAATTATGTTGCTACTTGCAGGTTCTTGGATTTATGATATCTTGGCGAATCCTTGAGAGAAATTACAGTATGACTGTATGAGGATCTTACTGTTGTTCGAAATTTCTGATCATAGGATGATATAGAGGGGCGGATCGAGTTGATTGTTTGGAGGTTGATTAGGTTTGATAGTGGACGTTGTTGTGCTTGATAGTTACAACAAGAATCCTACCCAAGTAGGTTCTATGATATTTTAGCGAATCTTCGATGGAGATGACGATATGGCTGTTGAGTGACTTGTGGTGGTTTAGAAAATCTATTGGTAGTGATAGGTTGGTATGAAGTGGTTGATTGAATAGAATATACTAGAATATAATAGATATAATAGATATAATAGATATACTAGAATATAATAGAATATAATAGAATATAATAGATGTAATAGATATAATGGATATAATAGATATACTAGAATATAATAGAATATAATAGAATGTAATAGAAACAAGGATTACAAAATGGAGTTTTAGAGAGTCTAATAAACGTAAATCCAGAATTTTCAAATACATAATATACAAATAATTTTCTGGACAATCTTATTTCATAGACTAATAAGAAGCAGGATCTCGTGATTAAATATTATCGATATTGTTTTCAGGGGTTATATTTTTTAAACTGTTCCAATTCTGTACTTACTAAATCAAAATAAGTATTAAATTCCATTAATTAATTTTTGTTCGGGAAACAAATATGAATTTATCTAGATAAAAAGTTAGAAAGATTATGTAATTAAAATATAACTAAAGCAGGTAAATCCTTTCTCGAGTTTTAAATATTTATATTAAATTAACGAAGCGCTATTCGCTGCTCAAATCGATCCCCATTCATGAGTGATAAATAAAATATACACACTCGTTTGTGAATTCGAAGAAAATATAAAATTTTCCTCGATATGCAATAGTTCAGACAAACGAGTTGCATAGATACATGAATAATCAGATGTCCATATAAGATCGTGGAAATTATTGCTTATTCGAACTCTGATAATTACAAATATCACGAAGGTTCGTACAATGCGCACGCGATGGCAGAAGCGTGTGAAAATCCAGTGAGTGAAAGGATGTTGCGAAATTTATCGAGATACACGAAAGGAGTGACACGAATTCTGCTCGAACCGTGACTATCTTAATCATCGCGAGTGTAAACACCGAGTCGTTAATAATCTCCATCAGAGGTTCACTTACTGAACTTATTAAGACACACCTGATGATAAAGATGCAATCAGGAACGTCTAAAAATACTCGCAGAAACATATGAATCCTTAATTCCTCCATCTAGAATAAGTGTCTCGTGCTAAAAAAATCGCAAAACACGATCCAAACACGAATATCACAGGTGAGAGTCTTACTTCGTAGATAGGATCCAATGAAAACATCAGTAAACATCAATACATATACTACTAGATCGGTACTGTAACAACATACACGTGGAAACATTTTAGATCAGGATGTGTTAATTTACGCGAAAAATTGTATGATTAGGGTGTCTTATATTTTGGTTTTATTGCTAGAGTATTTGAAGCATTCTTAACAGTGAACTTAGTGTCGGTCGCTTAATGTGGCGTGGTCATTTCCATGGCGAAATAAGGATTTAAAACAGGAAAATATATAAGGAACATTTTGAAAAATATTCCGAGTAAAAAAATTGATATTTTCCTGACTCGTGTATTATTGTTCCCTTTGACCAATTTTCCTTCTTTTACCTCGAAATTCTTCACTTCTCTCTGTACTTATAAATGGAAAAGAATTTTCAGTGACACCAGTACATGTACTGCTAGATCTGTACTGCACGACAGACGCATGGAAACATTTTAGATCAGAATGCATTAATTCGCGCGAAAAATTGTAAAATTGGAGTGTTTTATATTAACCTCTTAGCGTATGATATCGTGGATATTGAGAATGAGTGTCACCGGTGAGAGACGTTCGTAGATGGGACTCAATGTAAACATCACAGGTCAGGCTCGTGCTTAGTTTTCGTCGATGACTTCCTGCCTCAGTTCCGTGTTATTCTTCGTCGTGTTCGGACGATATGGCTCGACTTGCGACCGACCTTGTTGATCATGGCACAGCCATCGGAACGTATATCGTAGTGCACGTATGTGAGGATTCCTCTACGCATATTTCTCGGTATGTTAACCATTGGTATTTAATAATTCTGCTAGTAAGTGGATTCGTATCGAGTAAAAGGGATTAGCCGACGTGTTAACTAACAAAGCGTGATTAAACATTAAGGATTCGTTTAAAGATTAACTTTAACATCGCGACGTTGCTCTTGACTATGACACGCGCCATCGAAATTTAAATAGTAGGACAAGGGATTAAGGTATTTTTGTTTCATTATATCGTCTAAAATGGCAAATTTTTGTACCTTCGAAATGTACTTAAGGGTATTCCAATTTGAATACATCATCACTTCCTTCACAGTAAACCTCATTTTCCTAAAACGTCAAATTAATCTTTTCTTTGCAAATCAACCCTTAGGCTTCACATTTATCCCCATCCTTTTATACGCGTAAACTAAAAGCGTAAGAATTCCATAAACTTCCATAAATTTGTTACATTATCCCTAAATACATATAAATCATCGATTCATACACTTGCAAAATATTACACTTCATCTTAACATGTTACTAATTCCAACATATTAAGTCTCATCTTCCTGAAATCCTAAATTCTATGACAAAATTAATTTGATTTTTCCAAACCACCCCTTTGGATTTCAAACTCATCTAGGTATGAAATAAAAGCACGAAAGAAAGGGAATCTAGAAGAGAATATTTAAAATTAAATTCGGATAAGAATCTCGTCACACGACACAACCCTTTCCCGTTCTTTCATCCTCCGATAGCGTCGTCATTTTTCAGTTTGAAGACAAAATACAATTGATTGATTACTTGATTTTCTGTCGAATTTCTAGATATTTATTTTAAATATAGAAGTTCTTAAAATATTAATTTCTAAATATTTTGAAATAAGAAATATAAAAATCTGGGTATAATAAAAATAAAATAATTGTTTTCTAGTATAATGTAAACGAACAGTGATATAACGAAGTACGATATTTTTGTTACAGTTGAATGTTCACCAAGGATCACTTGGGGCGGCGGTTCACGAAGTTTGTCGAGTTACCGGAAGTGTTCTGCACCCAGTCCAGCATCACCAAGGCCAACTCCTCAACCACGACCACCCGTTGCATCCACCACTTCGCAACCCTCGAGAACGTTAGACGACGACAGGTCAACGGACGGTGAGTTGGAGAATTTAGTCTTTCTTCCTTTAATTAAAACATAATCGTAAATTTCGATTCCTCCATTCGTGAAAAAAGAATACAATATCGTACACCGAAGTAAATGACATTTAAATAAAATTTGGACGTTTTGACGTTCGGCTATAAAATTTCGCGATAAATTTTCAAAGTTCTTTCGAGATTGTTTATCCATGGTGTCTTAACGGTAGATTTATAGTCGGAGTAGTACTCGATACTACTCGATCCTGACCAATTTGCGTTCTCTAACTGGCTTATAGCCATAGGTACTGGTACAGCGGCGGAGGACTCAGACGATGGCGAGAGCATAGCGCAATACCTGAGCACAAATTGCGTGATCTTCACTCACTATCGAGGGGATGCTGCGTCCGAAGTGGAGGAACATTTTCAAAGAGCATTGGCGCACGACAAACCGAAGGGTGAGTCGCTATGCTATCATATTCCGATTATTTTCCAAAAAATATTCGTTTCGCGAGAACTACCCAGTGTGCAGAAATACTGAACCAGGGGTGTCCAATCTTTCAGCTCCCTTGGGCTACACAAAATATACCCAGTATTAACTATACTCGATGAACGAAAAGAAACTTTATATTTTTATTTTATACACTTTTATCTCAAATTTTGTATATAAAATTGGACACCCAGGCTCTAACCAAAAAAGTCGAAACACAGAAACCCTTTGCACTCGGCGATTTTTTCGTTACAGAAAAATAGTAATTAATTAAATAATAGGCTTTCTGCCATAAAGTCGACGATATTTTTAAAACGGTAAATAAGAAATCGTATATATATTAAGACGTAGAATTATTTTATTTCGATGTTCCACGCGTCATTGGGTAATTTTAAATTTGATATATTAATTAACACGTTAAGTGCTCAGCCCGTTTTGCTTGCTGTTCGGTTCAGGCCCAGACTCGGCCGTCAAGTAGACCACCGATAGCGGACGAGTGTTCAGTAGTTGATAAAACTCGAAAATACTGTACCATTTGTTATAACAGGAATTCACAAACGTTAGGTCCAAAGATGACGAAGAATTTAACACGAAAATTTAGCACCTCTTGGTCCTAGTCTGGGCCGGTCCCTAAGGACCTTAAGTCCTTGGGTCCGGTCGAGCCCAAACGAAAAATCTAGCACCGGTCTCTGAGAACTAGCGTGGCACTTAACTTGTTAAGTAGCGACTGAGGGTCGCCTCTCAAGTGCAAAGGGTTAAACGTCTCTTCGTTTCAACCCTAATCGTGCAAACGAAGCTCACCATCGCGTAGTACCAGTTTCAGAAAGGCCTCAAAAAATTCTCATATCACCTTAGGACCAAATATGTCAGCTTAGAACCATCCTAATTTCGATAAGCTCTGGTATATATATGTTCATTTAAGAAACCAAATTGCTCGAAATAGAACGATCCCAGTTTAGGGTTAATTATCTATTATTTATAACCCCGTCGAGGGTTAAGTAATTACTATTATAATCCACCCGAGCCTTGAAATAATGAATTCGTTGATAATCATTAATCACGCGTGACGCCGTGAAGCGCACAATTATTAAAGTAAAGAGGAGTCTCTGTAACCAGAATTCGAAGCCGACGTCACGTCTGCGAGAATGAATGCTCGCTCGCGATTCGTTCCAATTACGAACTCGTTTCGACGCTTCGACGTCATCGAACCACGCGAGTCGAAGATTGGAGGACGCGAGTCGGGACCGGGACTAATGCATCAAAGGGCGGTGATTTAAACGCATCCAGCGAGGATGCAACGCGGTCCCAGCGGAGACCGATAATAAAGTGCGCCATTAGGCCGCGACAACGCTAACAAGCCTCGTAACAATTGTACCGTCGTCGTACTTGGGGACTTAAAACCCTCGCTGTCGGGCCGTGGAAGGAGACGAAGAAGAAGGAGTGGAAGTTCCGCCGCGAACAGAGGAAGCGAGGGCGAGAAAAAAAATAACAGATGGAAATGGAACAGGGTGAAGAAGCGAAGGAAGAATTCCGAGGTTCGTGGTTTGCCGAGTTTAAAATTTTCTCCCATAAAAATGGGAGAAAATGGGAATTTGCGAAGTTCTGAACGATGATAAATAGAAAGGAGATAATTATCCGAGGAATAAGAGGCTTCGAAAAATCTGGTGTAGATAATTTAAACTTCAACCCTTTCATTTCCGAGTTAAGATGAGAATAGCTAACACTCTGTTCCTGAATTAATTTAAGAAATTTTATTTTTGCTTGAATCTGATAAAAACTTAATCCTTTCGCTACGACGGGCATCACAGTGAAGTCTCTCCCGTAGAACGAAGCGTCGTGCCAAAGATGGAAACATTACGATCATGGAGGCTTTAGCATTCTGGGCCAATTTCCAAAAAAGAAAAAAGGAGAAAGAGAAAACCGACTAGCGCAATAGCGTTTGAATGGTAGCACTTGTCTTAATTTTTTACTCGATATTTGTGGCCGGTGACTATAGTCACCCATCGTGTGTAGATGGCGTCTCGTGACCGGTGACTATAGTCACCAGTGTTAGCGGTGGATGAAATATCAATAACGATAAGAACAATTCTTTATTTAATTACGAAAAATGATCAAACACAAATATTAAGTATAAACCTAATTAATTTCTCGCAATCACTTGCTCACACCTATTTTCACTATTACAACTTAATTACAACTGACCTATGCCAATCTCTCTGGTTTGTTCTTTCTACTTTCATACATTGCATGACACTCTTGCTCACACCTATTTTCACTATTACAACTTAATTACAACTGACCTATGCCAATCTCTCTGGTCTGTTCTTTCTACTTTCATACATTGCATGACATACACAATTCACACAAACCTCGATCATTACACGCATACTCGTTTATCACGATAACCCGAATCCATTAGATATTGGCATCCCATGCATACCTGTTCCACTCATCCCTTTCTTACAGACATCGCTCCTTTATTATATCAACACATGTATATTCAAAATCTATGTTAACCATTAGTACATATTTGATATCATACCTTCATATCATACCATCATACTTCATTTTGATCGTAGAAAAATGATATTTTAATAATACAAATGAATATTTAGCGAAATTTCGTTTTAAATAGCACAAAGTAAACGGAATTTCGTGAAATTTGTTTAAGAAACTCCATTTTCCTTTTTCTTATATTTTAAAAAACTGAAGGATTTTAAACACGCAGCCATTTTCCTTTCAAGACGACGAAGATCAATTAAAAGTAGAATAATTGAGTTTAATTATGTGACGTGTGAAAATTTGGTTTCAGTTTCGAAAAAATTCTTCGTATTTTTCAAAAGTATCTATCTATTAATTAAATCTATTTCATCTAGCTTATCTTTCGATGCATTTTAACATATATTGCTGTCAAATATTTTTCTTCTACGATTGAAAATATCAATCGAAAGTTTCCAATGGCATGATCTTTCGGAATTACCGAGACTTATAACACGTCTTTTGGCTATTGAGCGTGGACGAAATTAAGATTTAAAAGAACATCTGTTTCATTGTGATAATTTTCAAAACAGGAGTATGCACATAGGGCCACGTCACACTTGAAACACGTGTATCTTGTTTCTCTTCTAATTCTTTCTGCAATCGCCGTATGAGTGCAGACGAAACATCTCCTATTAGGGTTTTGTTTTTTAGGTGTAGGAAGTATAGGGGCCTTCGATCATTGAGAATCAGTGGAGGGAATAAGCAAAGAGAGCGCGGATGAACATAGTCTCACATTATTTTTGACAGAATACAAAATAATGCAGGGATTGTATTGAAAAAAATTTCTCTCTTATCCCAACAGATGGCTGGACACGTTAGAACAGTTGGATCACGTTGAAAAAGAATTTTCTAAGCTCTAACAGCTTTGAAATCCATGGACGTCATGCTAATGTCATACAACGTCTGCAGGAGTGAAAGGGTTAACTTATTGAGGGTTCCTTCCATGGTGACGATAATATCTTAAGGCAGTACGAACGTCTAGGTAAAACTGTACCTGGTTCTATTTTTAAATAATTTTCATTTAACACGGATTAGAAAGAAAATTTCATTCTCTTCTTACACGATTTCCTTCTGCACGATCGACCTGAAATAAAAATAAAATAATACAATTTCTTCGTGTGGGCAATAAAAGAATTATTAAGGAGTATGGTATGCTAAAATGTGATTATCTCCACGATAACGACTAAAATTTTGTCGCAAATTTTAATACAGTACATGCACTCGTTTCAACGTCACAAAATAATTGTGACGAAAACATGGTGCAGGTAAAAATGAAATACTTTGGGTTAGATTCCTTTAGGTTCCTTTGAAACTGCAACTTCCTCGGGATCACGGATGTATCTTACCGAAACGTATCTTACGTTCTATCCTACCCAAACCTAATTTTTACATACACGCATTGTACACGTGCGAACTGACTTTGACCAGACCGCGTGTCCGCGACAAAAACCCTGGACGGTTTAAAATACCAGAAAAATGTTTGTCGAGAAGAAACCCGCGACTCCGTGTTTCCATCGTGTAACACGCGACTGGAATCAGCCTTACAAAACGATCGTGTCCCATCCAGCTGCATCCCTCGAACGCAAAACCGACGCCACCTGTATCGGGCAAAAGCGAAAACGTACTTGGCGAAAATAAAGGAACTTGGACTGGGTGGAAAGAAACCGGCCATTAGAATGCGGAGAGGCAAATGTGCGGAGCAAAAATACAACGCAAGGATATCGGCGACGCGAAAAGGGAGAACGAAGAAGCAAACATTCATATGTTCCAGAAAAGGAGCGGAGCCGGCCAGATAGCCAGGAGGACGCGAATGATCCGGGCTGAAGGGCCGAAAGCTGACGAAAGAAAGGGGCCGGCTAACGAGAAAGGCCAGCGTCGGGGTTGGGGGTTGCGGCGGTGGAGTTTGGCAAGCGATCGGCGTAGCAGCCCGTCTATATCGGTATCGTTTAAGGCCGCATTTATCTCGCGGCAGTGCTGACGATCGGTTCACTAGCCTGCTTAGAATTCAAGACAACACGACCTAATTGTTATGTGCCGTGCGCCTCTCCCTGCCTCTCCCGTGACTCTTCTCGTGCCTCTTCTGGTTCATCCCCTCTGCGTGGTCGTTCCATCGGCAGCACGCTTTCACGGCGTTGGAAAGGTAAATTAAGAGCTTCTGCTGCCGGCTACGAGATGCACGCTGACTCGGGGAGGGCCTGAGAGCGAAGCGTGTACAGGGGGTGAAGAAGGAGAGCGCGTGAGGGAGAGGAAGAGGACCGGGGTCGCGGGATAAGGAGACGGAGAAGACAGTTTTAGCCGCGGTATGCTGGCTAACATACGTACAAGGAGCGAACGTCTTTTACCGGTGAACGCGTGCACCGGGAACAAAGACACCCTCCGCGAGAAGATCAAGGGAGAAAGGCAGCAGATAAGAAGGGTTGGCAACCG